GTTTTAAAATTAAATTTAATGTAAAACAATAGATAAAGTAAGTGTGATATAAAAAACTTGTTAATGTAACTGCCTGGGTAGCTGAGTGGTTATAGTGCTCGCCTAGTAATCAAAAGGTCGCCGGTTCGATCCTGAAAAAAGTCAGCTTTTTGATGGTTCGAAACTGGACCCAGCTGTTCCTGATCATTTGGCTTTAAATAAATGATCCTGGCTAATGAACCTGCTGATCTTAGTCAGTAACAAAGCTACACAGATCATCACACACCATTCTACACTCATCCTTCACTCATATTTGGGTTAAAATAAGCACCTAGGTGGCGTCCCCATCTCAATGATTGATAATTGATTGATAATTGATAATTGAATTGATACAAGAATCGGATTTGAAAAACCGAATGGTGATTGAGCCCGAAAACATTATTTTGCAATAAGACTATTAATAACAGTTACCAGTTATAAGTAATAGACACAATGAAAGTCAGTGATGCGCTGTTTGTAAAATTATTTTTTTCAAAAGTAAAAAAAGTAATTATTAAAAAGTCATAAAAACATGGTAAAATTTTGTCAAAAAAAAAGTAACATTTTTTGCTTCATGAACTCAAGATACTGTTCAAGATGTACTCAAGATGTTGCGGTCAACCTAAAAATAAAAAAAGTAGCTATACCAAAAATATTAACATTATTACATTGAAAGCTATATAGGCCTAAGTTGATAAGCTTAATGACTGGATAAAACTAATTTTATGGGTTTCCAAGCAGGAAAAACTAAACTGCTAAATTTGCCAAAAATTGTAGTTAATAGCAACACAATTCAAAATAAAGACCACATAAAATTCTTAGGATCAGATATTGATGAAAATTTGAAGTGGAATAATCATATTGATCAGTTACTTTCTAAAATTTCATCTGGCCTTTATGCGCTAACAAGATTAAAACCCCTATGTGAAAAAGAAACTTTAAAAATTATATATTTTTCATACATACATTCAATCATATTATTTAGAGTTTCACTTTATGGTTCGGCAAAAAATTAAAAATTAAAATCAATTCTGAAAAAGCAAAAGAAAGCTATTAGAATTTTGTGCAATTTAAAACGCAGAACTTCAGTCAAAGAATATTTTCAAACTGGGAATATTATGACTGTTTATGGAATGTATGTCAATGAAACAGTATTATCAGTAAAAGACAGATTTAATGAATTATAACTTATGGGAGGCTATCACAATTACTTAAATAGAAATCGAGAAAACCTGGCCACAAGCTTGCATACTCTGCAACTTTTTACGAAGACACCTAAATATGCCGGTTCCAAATTTTATAATAAACTTCCTAAAGAAATCAAATTAGAAACTTCCAAAAATAAATTTAAATCAAAATTTCAAAAAATGTTTCTTATTATCAAGGTTATGTACTTCTTTGAAGAGTTTTATAAGTTATTAATTGCTTTATTTCATTTAAATTGAAACTTTTGGTTTTATAATAATTTTATATATTATTTTAATTTTAATATTTTATGTATAAACTTTCATATTGCACTGCTTGTTTTAATTTATTTGATCTAAAAAGCTATTAATATTGGTGGTATGTTGTTACGGTTGCATTTAGTGTTTTGATGTGGGTTTACTTTGTGAAGGGCTTTAAGGGTATAGCAGCCTTCAAAATTTTGGTTGTAGTCAGCGGCATGATTATAGATTGGTTTTCTTTTGTCTTCATGTACCACATCAAAAGGATGGCCTGTCATTCGAAGTCTTAAAGAGTTTGAAGTCTGGCCAATGTATTATTTTGGACAATGTGTACACAAGAGTTGATAAATCACATTGTAAATATTTTGAAATTTTTAAAATTAAAATTAAATTTTTGTTATTAAAATTTTGAAGGCTGCTATACCCTTAAAGCCCTTCACAAAGTAAACCCAAATCAAAACCCTAAATGCAACCAACTGGTCTTAAGAAATTCTGAATTGGCTCACCAGTTGGTACTGAAAACAAAGTTCCCCTCTGGTTTAAATTTAAGATAGGTAGTAAAAAAGTGATTCAACTCAGCTGAATTTTAATTTTCTTTTAGGCTGATTTTGTTATTTTCTTTGATCTGCACTCAATCATATGTTCTCAAAATTCAACTACTGTATTTGTAAACAGTTAATATTTGTTTGTTTTGTTCATTTTTACATATTTCATTAATTTCTCTTTGCTTGAAAACGTTTGTATTAAACAGAAATTTGCAATGTTTCATGTCCCATTTATCACAACGCTATCAAGAAATCCTCAAGAATAATATTGTATATATATATATATATATATATATATATATATATATATATATATATATATATGTGTGTGTGTGTGTCCATTAGCATGATAACTCGAGCAAAAATGATCGGATTATGATTAAATTTGTTACAAACGTATAAACCTACGTTTATTTGATTAGGCTACAAAATTAATGAAGTCAAATTTAGGCTACTTACATGTCATTGTTCTTATACTTGAATAAAGTCTTGCGGAGCCATGAAGATATTGTTTTTTCTATCTTCTTCGTAGACTCGTCATGCCATTTTTTTTTTTATTCCATCTGCAAGAGTTCACATTTCAAACAATTAAGCCTAACTTCATAAATTCAATATTTATTCGTTAAAAACAAGCATCACTGATAGCTCCACCATTTTGCCTATAATTATTGATATCCATTTAATTTAACACCAGAAAATTTTGTTAATTTGCACCTCGTGATTCGGTTAATGACATAATCAATAAATGACACTTGGCACATAACATTAAATGTGATTCACTGGAAGAGAGTACATTAACATGAAATGTAGGGAACATTAAAGATAAAATATTTAACAGGTTCGCTACCGAAATAGTACTAAATTTTTCATTTTATTAATTTATTTTTATTTTAGACCTAAGTAGCATTGGGATGTTAAAAAATCTGTTTGAATTAAGTTTATTAAGACTACAACAAGTTAAAGCCTATGTGTATATAAAGTAACCAGCTTTGTAAATGGCATAACAGAACAGATCCATTGTAAAGTTATTTAAACAAAAAAAAGTTTCATCAATTTGTAAAACAACTTTTTATTTTGTTGATTGTAAGGTAAATGTATGCAGAAAGCCAATTAATGGCAATAAAATATGCACAATTTGGAAACAAAATAGGTACCAAAATCTTTAGCAACGATATTTTATACAGCACTTACCAATCAGATATTTGCTGAAAAGAGTTTTGGAAAATGACTCTGTCCTCTTATTCAATCTTCTCTGTCCCTTCCAGGAGAATTGCTTTACAAGATCTGGATGTATTGTAAATCTTAAAACACTGGTAGTTGCTCTGGAAGAGCTGTTTCCCGTACCAATTGAGATAAGACCTTTCATCTGGAAAAATCAAGGAGTTTTAGGGCAATGGAAATGTACCGAGCTAATTAAAACTTCTGGAAAATCAAAATCCGAGATAAAAGACTTTATAGCAACAAAATTAAATAGCCTATGATTTAGGATCATAAAACAAAAATAGTTTTTTTCACCACACTACAATTAACCCTCCAAGTGTCCATAGTTTAGGCCTTAATGTCCACCTATTTTTGGCGCATTTGCAAGGTTTTATTAAAACGGATCTGAGAAGCTTAAAACAATGTTAATTCTAATGTTCTATATACCATTTTGTTTGGAAAATCATGGGCTTCAATATTATATATAAAACATAAGGAACATTTTTTCAAAAAAAAATTTTTTAGGTAAAAAAAATATAATTTCGAAAATTTTCAAAAACAAAATAAGTTCGCGCCTAATGAAATTGTATAAATTATAGGCCTATAAATATTTGAAAATAGCCACTTTGTTCTAAATTTTATGAGGATTACAAATATATAATAATATAAGGAAGTATATTTGCAAATAAATAAGTTATGGGCAAAAAACTGATTTCAGTACATAGCGTTTAGCTAAGAATGCATAGCCTAACCATAGCTAGGAATCTGGCTGATAATTTACATCAATATCACTACCTACTTCTTCAGGATCATCAACCAGCACTTCAAAACCACTTAAATCTTCTTATAATGCACCACGTATATCACTACTTTTGATTTTTAACACTAAAACAATGATAAACGTAATAAAACACATCAGTCATCGGTCCGGGGGAACCTAGCTGTTTACAAATACACGCACGTCAGCTGTCTGCTACAATATTTTCAGAACTAAAATGAATAGCGCTTAGAGACAGACATCTGGAGACAGCTTAGAATGTAACGGAAAGAACGATACCTAACTCGATCCAGTTCAATCCGATTCAGTCAGTTATAGAGCCTTCGCCGTAAACGATGTCTGCTTGTCGAAAAATCGGCAAGTAACACTATACAAAGTGTGGTGCTTGCCGAATTTTCGTCAAGTAACACTGGGAGGGTTAATGTTCATAGCCGTTGTACAAGTGGTTATTGATGTCCAGGGTCGAAATGCCACCCTAGCATTGTATTTGAATTATCATCAATTAGGCACCGAGCAGGTTTTTACATCCCTATGGGCCGAAAATTGACTGGTTGCTTATTTACTTAAAACATTAAATACAGTGGACACAAGTAGTGTCCATATGCATTGCACTTGTTGCATTGTTGACTTGTTTTGTTGTCAAGGTTGCCTAGGTAACTATTTATTGTTATTTTTGGTAATTCCTCAAAATATTTCACATAACCTTAAAGTTGTAGTTGTGTTACTTGTTTATAATTGATTTTCCTTTATAATATTAGGAATAAAATGACTACACACAGTGATTTATAAAGTCCATAGTGGAAGTGATGTTTATTTACAACAAATAATTAACTTAGCAAACACATGGCATAATTCACATATGACAGCTGCTTCTAACTTAGTACCAAGAAGGCAAGAAGGCAATGAGGGACAAGATTACAAATAAATTCCAACAGTGTTGACTATTAGTGTGAATTATTATTGTGGTGAATAGTGGTACTTACAACTGTACTAACAACTGATTCTTACCACATTCTTCTTGAAATTTTTATCTTTCAACTTTTCCTCAAATAATATAAAATCTTCCATAGATTTTAAGGGAAATGTCATATCAAAAATATCTACACTGTCTTCTTCCCTTCCCTCTTCTTCCGGGTCAGCAGTAGTAGCCCTAGGTTGTTCCGTCGCTGCAGGGTTTTCTGATACAGGAAGCCTCCTTATAATATCAGTGTGGCTATCCTGTATAGCTTTTTTTATGCTGGTAATGCTTTCTGAAACAATACACACACCTTTCAACATCTAAGTAGCTAAACAAATAAATACATAGAAGTCTATATTGAGGTGGTGTCTGTCTGGGCGGCTGTAACAACAAAAGCACTAATATTGGATATAATAACTAATATTAATAGAGTGGATAAGTCACAGGCATATCCACTTCCCTGAGTTCCTCTCAGTTTTGAAGTGAGGTTTTCAAAAGTAAATATTAATTGGTCTCCATGAAAGCAAGAGAAAACTTACAATGTTTACATATGCGTTGACATTTTCAATGAAAAGAAGCATAACTTCCAAAATGATTATTTCACAATTACAGACAGGAGGTCCAAAGAAATGAAATATAATATTAAACACAAATATGTGGTGGTGTATTTATTCTAAAACTATGTCATTGATTACGAAAAAATATCCTATAAACGTTGCTGTATTTATTAATTTATTCATTACATGTCATTACATCATTTGACAGGACATAAAGTCATATACAGGATAATACTAAAACTAAGAAATAACAAAAATGTCTTACTAAAAATTATTAATCTAACTTAATGTAACTATTTAAATAACATTTGATAGAAATTAAAATTTTTTTTTAACCAGGTCTTCAGAGTGGATCTGAACTGTGTATTACAATCAATATTTTTTATGCGGTGTGGTTAACTTATTGTAAACTTGAGGGCCTACATATTGGGGTAATAAATGAAATTTCTCTAATCTATGGGTTTCAGGCTTAATATAACTCTTAAATCTAGTGTGATGGGAATGAATGGGTTGGGTCATGAATGAGGACAGGTTGTCTTTAACCCAATTTGAAATTTTTTAAATATAGTGATCATAAAATGTTAAAACTGAAAATGTTTGAAAAAGACTTTTACAAGGAGTTCTACCAGGAACTCGCCCAATAATTCTAATTGCTTTTTGTTGAAGTTTGAATATTTTGTTGGAGTGGCATGAGTTTCCCCAAACCAGAATACCATATGTCATTATTGAAGAAAACTAAGCATGATAAACTATAAGCTGAGTCTTTTAAGTTAACAGCTTGTCTGATTGCGCAAAGAGAGAAAATACAGTCAAAATCGTTTGATCAAATTAACAACTTGTGATTTCCAGTTGAAGATTTTCATTGACAATTATACCTAAAAAAATTCACATTTTGCTGCAGTAGCATTTTAGATTTTGATGTTGTAATTTTATCTGTTTTATATTGATTATTATTAGAACTAAACTCTATAAGCTGTATCAACCCAGGCTCTGCATTCGATTTATTAAGTGTCTAATATATGAAAATAATGTTATTGATATATTTTCATGTTAACAGTTAGGACAATAACAATGTACGGTACGCTTTTTGTATAAATTACGTGGCTTATGTTTATTTTCAAAATAAACTTATCACACACTTTTTAACAACATTTCTATATTTCGGCATTAGCCTTCTTCAGGAACAAACAAACAATAATAAATTAATGTGTTTACCACTCTGAATCAGATGGTTTTAGCAAAAATCCAAAATACATATAATTTATGAAGAAGTAATAAAGAAAATGTTTTGATAGAAAGACAGAAAAAAATATATTTATATAACAGTGGCTTATGTTTATAAATTTTAACTCTGAAACAAGTGTTTGGATTAGGCGGTATGGTTTATCTTCCTGTTGCGAAGTACGGGTACAGCAGCTTATATTTCCTAAAATATTTTTTTTCACAAACTACAAGTCTGTTGATATATGTATATAGTGAAATCCATGTTTAGTGGTATTACTCTTTGGTCTTTCTGGATTCTCTTTTAAGTGTATTTGATTTCCGATTCAGAATAAAAGATGTCGGCTCATTAACTGCAGCCTAAATGTATTTCTGTCAATGTTAATTACAATTTATAATAAACTAGTGGAACCCCGTCGAAATCGACGGTTAATCTTGAGGTTTTATGTCAATTCAGCTAACTGCGATGGATAGAGTGAAGTCATTAAAATCTTAGTTAAATGAAGGGAGGATAAACATAATAATAAGTATGACGATTGTGTTCCCTTAAAAACGTGATTGATGAATTCGTTTAACACAATATTTCCTACCTTTTTATCAGCTTTAGGTTGCCCTAAGGGGTTTTTAGGAGTCTTATAATTGTTTGTTCATGAGTTTGTTTCATACCAAAGCCACTTTCACTAATATGGGAGAATGAGTTCATAATTAGTCCATCATGTTATGGAAAGAGTAAATTTTATTACTAACCACTAATTCCATCTGCTTTAGGAAAATCATTCAGATTGTATCCTAAATTATAAGTAATCTTCATCTTTGGTCATAAAAATACAGAATTCTATCAGCATATTAAATCAGTTTTTTTGTTTGATAAAAATATCTGATTCTCCAGAAAGCAGTAACATTCTTACTTCGATCTCAGCAATTTTAATTCTTTCTCTTGCCACATCGAACCATGTATTTAATCATCCTGTTCTTACTTGATAGGCTAATTCATTAACTTGTGGGGTAGTTTTCCCTTGGCCATATAGATCACATAAAGCTGTGCATGTATTTCGTGGATTGGAATTAACCATAATTGTAGGAAATTTTATCACAAATCTTGAACAATTGCGGAACCAAATCCATAACCTAGTCCAGCCTTGGTAACAAATTATGCAAATGCGATGAGATGTGATGACACTGTTATGTTTCCGAATGTTTTGTATGTAGTGAGGTTTAGATGCGTTGTTAGACCTAGCTACATGTGTACATCAAAGTAAAAACTGTGTACACATTTTTTTAAATACCTGAATTGACATTAGTTCACCTACTTTACCAAAACCATAGACTCCGTAGTTAGTATATTCCAAAACTTGAACACAGCTCTCATCCTCAACGTACTTATCTATGACACAATTTTCAACCCGATTATCAAAAACTTGTATACCAATAAATGAATCTCAGGTGTTCTTTCTTGAATTTAAAAATAAATGGTGATTGAAAGTAGGAAAAAAAGGCAAGTGCCAACTTTACAATATATATATAAGCTAACCCGATAAGGAATAGTTATATGTTCCTTTGAAATTGATATGTCACACTTTAAAGTATAGATTTTTGAACAAAACATTTAAAACGTATCATAATTTCATCATTTTGTTGAAACTATAAAAAAAACTTGCCAAGCAGTAGAGAATCCATTTAAAATCATAAATTATTATGTAAACATTTAATTTTGACAGTCTCAGTAGACTTTTGAATACAATTTTAATATGAACAGCTGGTTCATTAAAAGTAGTGTAAAATTATCCATATGGTCGAAATGTAAACAAAATTGCAGAGTGAACTTTAAAGGCCTCTGGGGCAGAGCCCCAACGAAATTTACCTCGTTTCTCTTTTGAGGGCTCACCTACTGACCAATACCTTTCTTTAGACACCCCTACCAAGTTTCTACGCCCAGCCGTTCTCTCAAATTAGCTGTGACAAAAACCTCGTTTTCCTCCATAAGAATAACATGGGATGGGAATTTAAAGGCCACTGGGGCAGAGCCCCAAGGGAATTCTCCATGTTTCTCCTTTGATGGCTCATCTACAGACCGGGACCTTTCTTTTGACACCTCTACCGAGTTTCTACGCTCAGCCGTTCTCTCAAAATAGCTTTCACAAAGAAAATCAGTTTCAAATTAATATATAGATAGTATTGAAACTTAAATTGTGTTTTTTATTTAAAATGTGAAATATGGTGTCTTATAAGTGGGATACAAATAAATTTAAGTGCGTGAGTAAGAAATTAACATAAAAATGTGTTAAAACAATGAGAGAGTCAGAAGATGAAAAGGTGCTTCAACAAAGGACTGTGTCTGGAAAAACTGAAAATTTCACAATGGTTCCATGCAATCTTCAGAATTTTAATTTCGAGGGCAATTTAGCCGAAAATTGGAAGCACTGTTATCAGAAATTTGAGATTTATCTCTTGGCTTCTAACCTAAATTCTGAAAATGACGCTAGGATGGTTGCTCTACTAACTGCATAATTTGGGTGACAAATGCATAGACATTTTCAATTCATTCAACCTCTCATCTGCAGATGCAAAAAACTACGACGTGGTGGTAAGTAAATTTGAAAACCATTTCTCGCCTAAGAAAAAACTCACGGTTCTGAGACATGAATTTCTAAATAGGAAACAGCTGCCATCTGAATCCATCGATAGTTTCTATACAGACTTAGTTAACTTGAGCCTCGCTTGTGAATTTGACTCTGTCCGCGAAAGTCTTGTTTGTGATGTCTTAATATCAGGGCTTAACTCCCAAAACCAGAATGTCAGGGAACGATTACTGAGAGAGCCGGAGATTAACTTGGAGAAGACTTTAGCAATCTGTAAAGCTGCTGAACTGTCTAAACAACACATCAGAGAACTAGAAGCAGAACATAATGTCCATACAGTTAACGTCCATAAGCAACAAGAGAGGGGTTACCTACAACCACAAACGTTCAGACAGAAAAAGGTTTATCAGGACCAAAGGAACAAATTTCATCCACCATAACAGCAGAAATCAACTGGGACAGGTAGGCCTAACAAGAGTACAAGTGCTAAGAAGTTTATTTCGAACTGCCGTGATTGTGGGAAAAATCACGGTATTAACAAATGCTCTGCGTATGGCTTAGTGTGCTACAAGTGCGGTAAAAACAATCACTTTGACAGTGTATGCAAATCAGCCAAAAAGGTTTGTGAAGTAGGCCTAAGTTTAGATTCTAATTCAAGAGATGTAGTTATAAGACAAGGTAGGCAAGACCGTTCTTCTAAAAGTACTTGTGCACAAGAATATTTTTCAATTGATACTGTATCGCTCACGTCTGAATCTGCATCTAATTACGTGATTGACAAAAACTTTTTATTCAGTAATATATTAGAATTCATTCCTACTACTGGAACGTCAGTTATTAATAAATAATATAACGTTACCTTCTAACGTTCCAAAATGGTGTAGTCTTACGACGCGTTTCGTCAACACAGTGACATCTTCAGGTGATCCGCTATC